AAGCTCAGGAGTTTGAGACCAGCCCAGGCAACATGGTGAAATCCTGTCTCTACTAAAATACAAAAAAATTAGCCAAGCATACTAGCGCATGCCTGTAGTCCCAGCTACTCAGGAGGCTGAGTCACAAGAATTGCTTGAAACCAGGAGGCCAGGATTGCAGGGAGTCAAGATCATACCACTGACCTCTCCAGAGGAAAAAAAAGAATTCGTCAGGTCTGGGACCCTTCTTGAAACCCTACGAGGCCCTTTGAAAAGATGCTCTGTCATTTGTGCAGTGCATGGGTCTACTCTGAGTCCATTTCCATGTCTAGTTCATGCCACCTAATTCTTTGTTCTTGTCATTGGTCACCTCATTCTTTCTCCAGTTTCACTAAGCTCAGTCTTCAGTTTCCCTCACTCTGCTTCCCACATTTCTCTCTGACTTTTCCAACAAAAACTCCAAAATGTGATTCCCCTTTCCTTGGCATTATTGTATGCTAGAAGGTCTGGCAGGTGTGTTTTCACAGATCCTGGTCAGGCCAAGGTTGGGGGAGTCCTTATCTTTCTCTGCCTTGATTCTCTTTGGGAACAGGATGGACATTTCGGGAGAGCAGAACCTTCTCTCCTGTGAGATATGGGTAAGGGATGAATAAATATACAATGGCAGCATAGAAGGGCCCAGAGAATAGCTTAACATACTGAATCTGAACTTGAAATCTAAGAAGTGCAAGGACATTTGCATTGTATGGAGATGCCCCATGGAGTGGGAGAAAGACTTTAATCAGACAGGGACAGAAGATCACTGAGCCAGGTAACATGGAACCATGAGATTGAATGAAAACATAATGAAAATCTTTAGGAGCTTAAAAATACATTATTTTGATGATGGTCCTAAATTTGCACTTCAGATACTTTGATTCAAAGTGTTTGCTTATATAGGAGGTAGAACTTGGCAACATATAGATATTGCTATTTTCTTGGCAAAGGCATTAGAATAGTAAAAAATATCCCCAAACTTTTCGAATATTCATGGGATCCAAATTTTCCTGTGTTGCTCTTAGATATTTATTACGTATGTGTTCATTAAAATATTTACGACAGGAATAATTGTATCATACCTGTGTTGATTTGCTTGGCTTTCAACGTGGATTTCATAAGGGGAGGCTAAGGATGTTAACATGGGAACCAGGTTAGAATTATAATCACTTGTCACAGATAGGTAGATTGAAGCCCAAGAAGGAAGCTCCTGTTGGAAGAATAAGTGCTGAGATCTGGAACAGTCCCTGGACAGGGCTATGAGATCTAGGATTTGCTTCTTTTGATATATGACTGCTATGGAAAGTGTAGTATCCCCATTGTCACTCCTCTGGGACAGCTAAAGTAGGTATAAACACTGTTTAATAAATGATATCAGATACTTTCTGGAATTTGTCTTAAACGTACCCAATCTGTCCGTGTGCCTTACAGTTTTAAAAGTCAATACATTGACAGCTCTTTCTGATACTGTTGCTGGAGGGCACGGAGACTCATACTCTTGTTTCAGGCCCTTCTTTTATGTTTTTTTTCTACTGTAAGGGACTAGTTTTGCTTTGGGATAAAGCTGTAACTTTTTTATAATGGGCTCATCTCTCTATTTTAAATAGCTAGAGAGCATTTCAGCAAATACAATCCTGGTATAATTCCAAATGAAGACTTAAAAGTTCATTAAAACAAGTATAACTTTGTTGATAGGATAAAAACATCCCAGAAATCTAAGGTACACACAAAAATTATTTTGATGCAGCTATGAAGATGGCTCATGAAATCTAGCCATCAAAGCGCATGGTATTTCGTATTTTAATTCATCTATGATACTGCTTGGTGAAGTTGGTATTTATGCAGTAAAATAAAATTATTTCTTATTTGAAAGGAATATACCAATTAGATATGATTTTCTTGATACCAACACATAATTCCCATGTAAATAGAAGACTAAAAGTTCACTGTCAGGCAGGTCCTGGGTTTAATTCCCAGTATCACCTGCTGCTGGAGTGACCTCAGGCATATTACCTACATTTTCTACACCCCAGTGTCTTCATTTGTAAACTGGGGCCATAATTGCACTTACTTTATTGAGTGGTAAGAATCAAATGAAGGAATATATGTGTTAATAGACTTAGCACAGTGCTTGGCACATTGTAAATGATCATTAAATGGTGATGATTCATAGATTAAGAAAAACAACAAAAGGAGGAAAATTCAGCAAACTCAAAACAACATTTGCATGTTAAATGTTAATTTTAACATGCTTAAAATTAAGCTTCAACCCAAAAAGAGTTTCACAGAAATACAAATGAAAAAAATAGCAAATAAAAGATAGGAATAAAAATAATAAAGGAATTCTGTGTATTGAATGGCTATCTCATCAAATCATGAAAGCAGCAGAAAGACAAAAATAGTTTGAGAATGGAATCTGATCTGCCTAGAAAGCTCTGGCTACCAACAACACACAAGAACTCTAACGAGGAACCTCTGCAATTCAGTAATTCTAATCACTTTGATTACCAAGAAACATTCTTTTTAGCATCCTGATTATGATTTCCCCATGGCCTGAACAACCCGGTGATTTCTGAGAGTCTCTATAAAATTAATTGCAATGAGCAAAGTGAAGTTTGCTAAAAGACCAATACATGTGTTTATGAAAGTTCTGGAGAGTCACAGCAATGGGATATATAGCTTGTTTGTCCTATTTAGTGACACAGTGAGCGTACTTTATGAAATGTCACTGATTCATCACCTTGGTTCTGCTGGTTAATTTGCCTCAAATGGGAGTCATATGAAGGAGCTAGTATTCCTCCAAAAGCTCTGAAAATAATTTTGTTATAACAGCAGTCATTAAAATATACCAACAATATGCTTTTAATATTATGATGACAATAAGAAATACATGGTACCAAAAATATGCTAATCACTTCTGAGCAGTTTTTGTGTACCAGGCACTATTCCAGACAATCTTCTTAGATCATCTTTGCTCCAGTTTCCTTAGATAATTCTGTTATTCCCCATGTGCAGACAAGGAAATGGAGGCACTGAGAATTTAAGTACCTTTGCTTAAGTCTCATCCAGGAAATTGCTGAGCCTAGACTGCAAAGCCAGATAATACAGCCTGACTCCAGAATTTGGCTGAGTCACCTTGTGCTAAACTGTCTCCCAATAAGCCTGAGAAATACCACCTGCCCAGCTTGGACAGTCACAGGCATATTGGTGTAGCAAAGGCTCAGAGGAGTCCATAGGAAACATTTGGTAAAACAGATTGTGGGAAATTTCGTCCCAAAACATGAATGGTAATCACATAACAATTCATTTGATTTAGTTATTTTCTTAGGCTTATGCCTTAGCTATAAGAATAATGGGCTTTTATGACTGCAGTATATTAACTCTTGAAATCATATTTCAACTTTCTCATTTTGCAGAGTTTAAATAACTTATACAAGGTCTCATAGTAATAAAATGTAGTAGCTGTAATAAATGTGTATTGAATCCTTACTGTATGTCAGGCACAGAGCTTAAACATTGCATTTATTTTTATCCATGAGAAGGGAATTATTGTCATCACCCCCTTTTGAGAGATGAGAAAAATAAGGTGTACAGTTAATGAGTAGGGGAAAAAAAGATGATTTGATCCCAGGTCTGAATCTCAAGCCCATGCTTTTAAACACTTTGTGTAATGAAAATAAAATAACAGGAAGGCAGACCAAAGTTGAGTAATATCCTTGGGAAATAGAAATGGAAGGTAGACCACAGGTAGTTGCGATTTGTGGGCTATATTCTGTTCCACGACTCTAGTGGAAAGAGATGTATTCCAGGTATCTCAGTTTGGAATAGTTAACATATTTCCCATAGACACCTTATTAAATCTGATGGGAAGTAAATCACATGTATTCAGCAAACATGAAAGTGCCTACTGTAAGCCATAGGTCTCCTGGAAACTTCTAGACTTAGTGATGCACTGAATTAAATGGGCATGCACAGGTGAATCTTACAGTGGAACTTAACACCACATTTAGCATTTTCTTTATTAGAAAATGTATGCCAAGTTCCAGTCAACCTAAAACTAAACATTAAAAGTACAACTTGCTCATAGTTGGTTGCTGCTTGCCTTGATCTTAATGAAGAAATTATTACTAAATAATTTTATTAGCTATTACTAGAGGAATGGTTACATTTAATACATGCATGTTGGTGTGCAGTCTGTAGTTGCACTTAAGAGTGTTTTTGGATTCTAAATCTCTGAACTTCTAGAGATTAATGAAGTTGCTTGTGAATGTGATTAGTGGAGAAGAAGGCCAACTTGTATAGGGATTTAATAATATTCATTTCATGAAGGTGGCTTCATGATTTATATAACTTATATTTACAAACTCTGGCTCTGACTAATGCAAATTTTAAAATTGACTTTTCATGACACTAAACAAGATCTGTCAAGAGTTCCATATTTTCACTTGTACTTTAGTAAAAGCAACAGGAAAGAAAGTGTATATTATGTGTGCGTGTTTAACAAGATGTTAGTACACTTCTGATATTAATATTCACTTCAGGAAATCAAGCAGACTCACTAAATATTGCTGATAAATTGCAGGGAACGTTAGCAGAGATATTTATTATCAGCCTTTAAAGTTCTGGGAAATAATCTGCCTTGGTGCAGCACTTTGATGGGACTGCCGTTTTTCAGTGGCAGGGGAGGAGTGAGAAACACCTACCTGGGCTACGATTTTAGAGCAGTGTCTTCTTTGGCAAATCCTGTTTTATTTGTGGAGGTGTCTGTTTGGGAGGCGGGTCATGGGGACACACATTTTAAGATCAGAGATGATCTTAAAATGGTTTATTAAACTCCTAATTGTCTAGAAATTCAAGTCAGACTGTTTGAAATGGGGACAGAGAAGTTAGACTTGTTATTCAGATACAGGGCTTCTATATACCTCCTGGCTGGAGGATGTCTTCTCTGGGGCCTTCATTTCTTTATGCTCTGTCCCTCTTTGCAGAGTCCTCGAATGCAACCTTGCTGACCAATGCAGAGAAGATCGCCACCATCACCACCACACATACCCCTTCTCAGCAGGGGGCCCAGGAGACAAGGTCAGACATGGCTTTGGTTTCCTTTGTTAAAGGGGAAAAAAGTAACTCTCAGCATGATAGTTTCTGTCCTTGATTCTCTCAGTTTCCTAATGGGTTGCTCTTACATTTGTTTCTCTCTCACTTTGGCAGGAATACCACCAAACCAAAGCAGGAATCTCAGTTTGAGTTCAAAGCTCCCCAGGCAACACAGGTGAGCATCATTTCCCTTTTTTCTTTATGCTTTGCACATTTCCTTCCAACTTTCTGAAGCTATTTTTATGGGATATTTTTTGAAGCACCTTTAATTTAAAAGAAATATCCTTTTGTGAGGTGACACACCAAATATGGACTTATAGTTGATTGTCTAGGAAACAACATTTTATTTTACTACCTTAAAATATTCCTAGATAGCCTTTTCTAGGGGGGAAAAAAACAAAAAATGAAAAGCAGGAACTGTCACAAGGATCAGCAGTTAGAGAAAGCAAAGCAGCCAATATCTACTCATAGTATTCATTGACATGCTTCTGCCAGGAAAACGTCTTTTTGATCAGGTGTTTCTCAGGCTTGGGAATTTAAGGTGAGATCCACAGAGCAAAATACCTGTCCTTAGCATGGTGAGGGAGAGTGTGAAAATAACAGCAGGTGAAACAAATTTGAGGAACTTTGGGTGATGCAAAATTAAACAGATTCTCTTTTTTTATTGAGAGACAGGGGTCTCGCTATGCTATGTAGGCCAGACTGAAACTCCTGGATTCAAGCAGTCCTCCTGTCTCAGTCTTCTGAGTAGCTGGTAATACAAGTGCCCAGCTGGGTTCCTTCTTTACTGGTTGCCTGGGGGCTTTTGGTTGTCCCTTCATAATTTTCCTTGACCAAGATGTGGAGAGGTTCTGTTGATATCTTCATGATGGGCCCAGCCAGCATTATTGGACACAAGTCCAGGAGGCTGGGCATCCAGCAGTCAGGTGGCTGGTATCATGTAATAAGGAATTGCCCTGCCACAAATGCAAATCGCAGCCTCATTGATTAAATTTTAACCCACATGTTATATTAAATACACACATGCATATAGACATGTTCATAAATGTTTTCAAATTTTGTATCTCTGACTTCTGAGATTAATGAAGAATCCAGATGATTAATAAACAAGAGTCACCAAGAGGGGGATAGAGATGGTGCCTTTTTGCCAAATCAGCATAATAGAGAATGTTTGGGAAGAGCCGTATGGACATGGGTTCTCCTAGAATGATTGCATTTAATTTCTTTAAATAGGAGCAAGACTTTTACACTGTGGAACTGGAAAGAGGAGCCAAGGGATTTGGCTTTAGCCTTCGAGGGGGCCGAGAGTATAATATGGACCTCTACGTTCTGCGCTTAGCAGAGGATGGTCCTGCAGAGAGGTGTGGAAAGATGAGGGTGAGTGGGGAGAGGAGTCTGGGGTAGGTGCAAATAAACCATCTGCAGTGACTTCTTGTCATATATGGTTACAATGTTCATGTTCATAAGAATTACATTTTCTACAGCTTTCATGATTCTCTAAATGCATGACTCCTACTCTACCAAATATTTCTCCCTAAAGCATGATTAATTATAACTGCTAAAGTTAGGTGAACACTTTCAACTCTTTGGGGCTGAATAAGGGATTTAAATTACTTACAAACATGTTAAAGTAGATACTTTCCAGAGTCCACTTCTATAGTTCTTGTGGTCAATCTCATGGGGCAGGCACAGCACTTTGGCAGGAATGCTGGGGTACCCTGGGATGCTTAGAAAACAGGAAAACCATGTGACCCTATAGATTCTGGACAGTGAGGTCTACTTATCCTCTAGCTGTTTACCATTGGTCTTACATTGGCTCAGAGAGAGCAAGTCTGCTCTCTGCCTTAGCAAAAAGCCAGGTGTCTGCAGCATGACTATTCAGAGTTGCTCTGTAGTACTTAAAGCTACAAATTTTAAATACATAAATGCCAAAAGTCCACTCTCTTTTGCTAATATCTGTTACTGTAGATGAATGTGCTGTTCTCCTGGGCAGATTAGATGATTAAGAAAACATAAATCATCTACTCATAGACAGATAACATAGATTGGGACTTACCCATGGACAGCCATTTACAACAAATTAAAAGAAATCAAGACAGTCAGGCCAGTAAAGGAAAAAAGTGAATGCAGTTGGGCCTGAGCAGAAAAAGGGAAAAACTGATTAAGGGTGAGGATCATAACACTTGCTCTTAAGCCACCAGCTTGATGTTTAAGTTTCTTCAGAGTGAATTTTTTAACATTTTTGTAAAATTGAGAATGTAGAGCATGAATGTGTTTTAAGAAAATTAAACAGTGAAAAATGGTATGTAGTAAAATGCAGTGTCCAGGGTCAAACAGCATGCCAGTTTCTCTCATATCCTTTTCTTTTGTATGTGCATACACAAGAGAAGATACATGGTGGTACACATTTCTTTTGTTTGAATTTCAGACATAAGGAATTTATTTTCCCTTATCTTTTAATCACTTTAAAAAGTTTCTGATCAAATGAGATATTATTATCATGCTATTTTATATAATGGTGTATAGTTTACATGATAGGCTCACATGTATTACCTGATTTGATCCCAGCAGCTTGGTGGGCGTGGGTGGTGTTATCAGCCTCCTACAAGTAAGAAAGCAGACTCAAGGAAGTTAAAGTACTGTGAGCAAATCAGTTACCAAATGATAGGATTCAAATTAAGGCTATAGACTTGAAACCTCTGTTTAGAATATAAACTCTATTTGAGTGGGGATCTGCCCTGTCTTATTTATTCTTTTATTTCCAGTGCCTAGAATAGTGACTCAGAAAAAGTGAATGTTGCATTTAATGTATCAGTCAGGATTATGGTCTCATCTGAAGTCTCGCTTGGGGAAGGGTTGGTTTGTAAGCCCACTGACATGGTTGTTACCAGGATTCAGTGCCTTATAGGGCAATCCCTCATTTCATTATCTGGGACTCCAGAGCACAGCTCATAACATGTATCAGAGCAAACAAATGAGAGAAGGAAAGAGGGCGAGTAAGGCAGATGACAAAATAGTTTTATGACTGATAAACTGATATCATGTTTGCCATATTCTGTTTGTTAGAAGCAAGTCACTTGGTCCAGCTCACATTCAAAGGTTGGGGGAGATTGCACAGGTTGTGAATGCAAGCAGGCAGAGATCATGGGAGCCTTCCTAAAAGCTGTCTACCCCAAAACATGCCCTTACTGCTTCTTTTTCCGTTATCACGTAATTCGGCATACATGTAGTTTTCTAATATTCTTGTCTTTCCTTTTTTAGAATGTAATCTCCATGAAGGCAGAGATTTCTGTTAGTTTTTGTCACTGCCACATCCAAAGCAATAGATGTTCTGCCACATGCTTAATAAACATTCAGCAAATCCGTACATGAATTTTAAATCTCACTTAGTTTTCTTTTGCTCTGGCAGATTGGTGATGAAATTTTAGAGATCAATGGTGAGACCACCAAAAACATGAAGCATTCTCGAGCTATAGAACTGATTAAGAATGGTGGCCGCAGAGTTCGTCTGTTTCTGAAGCGGGGAGATGGCTCAGTACCAGAATATGGTGGGTCAAACTATGAAAACATTCCTTCCTTCCCTGGCATGACTCCATGAATTTGTCTCCAGAACGGCAGCAGGAAAGTCTTTTTTGTTTCCCTTCTTCACCAGTGTCTTACCAGCCTCTCGCACCATGTGATTATTTGCCTCGCTTGTTCTGAAATCTCTACACATTTCATCCTTTTGCTTGCTTACATGGACTGGGGCATGGCCTAAGACAAGATCTTTATAGCCCCCTTTCTGATAATCAGAGAGAACATTTTGTCTAGTCCAACCAAGAGCGAAGGAATGTTTGTTTGAACTGTGCCAAACTGTTCCTCAGATCCAGTTGTTAGCACAAAATGACTATATACTCCTTTTAAGAAGCAGGAAAGCAGGTTTCCTGAGTGATATGTTGAGGCACAATTATTTTTTCCTTTTTGGTTACTTGGTGTCTTTATCTAAGAGGCATGAAATTTTGAGAGATTTGGGGGCTTTGCTTACCTCTGTTATGCTTTGTATAAAACACTTCTCCATCCCCCCAACGGGTCTCTTACCCCAAATCAGACCATCTGAGCCCACTACCAACAAACAAACAAAAACTGTTAATATATTAGCCATAATGTTTTTAAATGATAAAGGATGAAACAGATTCCCAGTGCTCATCATGAGGGAAACATGTGACTATACCTTTCCTATGAGGAAAGCCAGGTTATACATAAAGTTCCTTTGTCATATCTTTAGACTTGATTTGAGTAGACAGCAACGATCTTTACATAGCTTAGTGTTCTGATGGCAAAATATTGTATATGATAATTATGTCCTATTTATTTGAGATTTGTGTTTAAAATTAAAAAAAAAAAAAAAAAAAAAAGCTATGCCCTAGATGTAGGGCTTTTTTTCCCAACCAAAGGTCTACAAAAGTTTCTATAGAAACTGTGATTGAATAGTCCCCATATACGTTGGTCCCCTTTATTAGGGATTTATCTATTATCACTCTCTTTTCTGAAAGTCATTCTGCACAATTCCCAGTTGCATTTTGGACTTGATGAGATGTTTAATTCAGATGCAGCTCAAGGAGAAGGATAGCTCCTTGGAGGGGCAGCCTTCCCAGGTGTTGGACATTTGTACAGGTGCAAAATACGAGGGGTCCGAGGTATAGGGGGAGGGTGGGTATCAGATGAGGCCCCTATAGACAAGGCCAACCACAGGGGCAGCATTTTGACAACATTTAGATGCCGTGGCTGTGCACTGTACTAAACTGACCGTTAGGTGTATTGATACCACTGAAACTGTGTAACATTGTCTCCCTTTTCTGTCTTCCCTATGCTTCTGTTGGATGTGATATTTCATTTGAGAGTCATCGTCAGTAACCTGTGTACCTTCTCAAAACCTCTGTCTGTTGCACTGAGGATGAAAATCCAACACTAACAAATGTTCTTTGGGCTAAAAATAAAGATCATTTAAATACACGGTTTTCCAAGGGTTGAACCTGCCAGGGTTGTGCTACTATAATGTCTCCATGCGTCATTTGGACTAAATCTCTCTAATTCCATTGATTAGAATCACAAATGGGTTATAATATGTTAAGTTCCAATATTTTTCTGACTTGATTGGAACCTGCTTCTCTGTGAGGCTATTTTTGTAATGAGTTTTTTGTACTTAATTTAAACTGCCGCGGTCTTTGGCGGGGGAGGGAAGGGATTTTGTTCTTTTGTTGTTTATTGTTAATGCTCTCCTATGCCAGCCTGTCATTGTTCCAGTTGTTTGAAAAAAAAAAAAAAAACAAAAAACAAAACAAAGAAAACAAAGAAAAAAAAGGATGCATTCATTGTCCGGGTTCTCGAGTCACCTGATGGCTGTCTAAAAATGTCACTGTTCTGATTGCGGTCTCTGCAGCCTTATTTGAGTGTTGCCTTAGACTGTCTGACTGGACAAATAAACTCTCTTTGCCCTATGTTAACAAATGCAGATTTTTTTTTCTTTCCTCTGTGTTATAGGGAATCTAAATGTTCAACTTTTTCTCTTTCTCTCTTTCTCTTTCTCTGTGACTGTTCTTGGTGCTGGGCCCTCCCTTCCACAGCGATGATACCTCCTAATATCGCTGCATGTATGAGAAATGAAAAGCTCGGGGAGGCTTGCTTCTACCTTATGGGCCATAATCAAACTACGGTTTGTAGCTCAATCAATACTAGGTGTTTCTGTGCTGTGGCCTAATTTCCTCATTGCTTCTGCTTAGCTCTGTTTTGATATGTTTGGCAATTCATTCTGAGCACCCTGCGTTCTTTGAATTGTAAGTACACTGCTGACCCTGTTGAAGTGTTGCCCCCTCTTGTCTTAAAAGTAAGCATAAGAATCCATTGGTGATCCAAGTACCTTCCTGTATTCAAATCTTCAAATGATCTCTGTTAAAAAACCTGTTTTTTGTTCATTCTTGTAGCCAACCCATCATTTAGAAAGAATGAACCTTGTATCATGGAGCCCTATATCACAGGGCTTTGCTAGATGGGAAGGTGAGATTTCCTGCTTGGTCAGGTATCTCTTTGCAAACTATAGTCCATGGGTCCAATCCTGTCCATAGCCTGTTTTTGCAAGTAAAGTTTTAATGGCACATAGCCACACCCATTATTTTTGTGTTGCCTGTGTTTTTATGCCACAGTGGCAGAGTTGAATAGCTGTAATAGAGATGGTATGGCCCAAAACACCCAAATTATTTACTGTTGCCCTTTAGAAAAAGTTGGCTGACCCCTGCTTTTGGCTTTTCTCTTGCTTTTGTTAAAAGCCCACTCTAGGTTTTGGGAAGTTGTTCATGAAACAGATTAATTGCTAAATACTGACCTTGTTGCCTCATGAAAGATCCTTCAAGAGCCCCACTGAGCCCTTAGTCTCTGACTATCACATGAGTCTGCCCTCCACACTGCTGCACCTTGTTTCAGGCGCTTTGCTTGGAATACTGTCATGTGGATAACTTCTTGGGTTTAGTTGCAACAAAGCATCCCAGCCTTGAAAAGAGCTCTTCTCAATTCAGGACACTGCCTAAAACATTTGCACTGTCATTTTGAATAATGAATAATGATAAATAGGGGCCATTATGGGCTGCCCTGCTTTTAAATCTGTGGAAACCTTGATGTTATAGGAAGCATCCCAGTGACTCCAAGCTCTTACATGTCATTACGACTACATCCCATATCATAAAGAAAAAGTGCCTCTAAACTGAAAATTTTATCTGACTCCCATCCAATCTCAAATGTGTACCTAACAGCCTCTCTTCCCCTCCCATTTATCTACCAGAAAACACATTTTAAAAACAGTTCCTTATTTTTTAATGTACACAAAAGTAGAGAAAGTAGTTGAATAATACAAATAGAACAGTTTAATGGGCCCTTGCAAACTATCCCATTTGCCTGCTAACCTGGATTGTTTTTTTAAATAGAAGTAGACTTTTGCATAAGGTAAAATGCATAAATCCTGAGTATACAGTGCAGTAGATTTTTTACTTCTATGTGTGCCCATTAAATCTCCACCCAGATAAGATATAGATGATTCCCACCCTCCTCCAGAAAGCGTCTCAGGTGCCCCTCCAGATCAGTACCCTAAAATATTTAAAGCAAGTGTTCTTTAAAGCAAAGAATATTTTTTGGGGGGGTGGAAGAGGGAGGGGTGGACGCGGGGGAGAAGGGCTGGGAGGTGGGAAAGGAAGAACAAGGGATAGCTACAGAGAGGAAATGTTGATGCCTCTAGACAGACTATTTGGATTGTGCCTTTAAAAGACTCAAATTATGACTGATTTTTGTCTGTTCTATGCCTCGGGTATGCAGAACAGTCAGCCAGCTCGAAGCTGAAAGCCACAGTACTAGTTTTCAACCCTAACTACATGCAGTTGTCCTAAAATTAACAAGATTCAGTTGGCTTTGAGTCTGACTGCTTTAACAGTTGTTTGCTTGTTGTGACTAATGAAGTCTCGAATGTGGGTGGGAGCGGGGACAGGAGCCGAGGGACCTTCCTACCCAACTGTTGCTCTCTCTATTTTCCTGGCAGACCCCAGCAGCGACCGCCACGGCCCCGCCACCGGTCCACAAGGTGTTCCGGAAGTGAGGGCCGGGCCCAACCGCCGGCAGCATCCGTCATTGGAGTCCAGTTACCTACCCGATCTTCACAAATCATCACCACATGGGGAAAAGCGGGAACACGCGAGGGATCCGAAAGGCAGCAGGGAGTATAGCAGACAACCCAATGAACACCACACCTGGAATGGGACTTCGAGGAAACCCGACAGCGGGGCATGCCGACCCAAGGACCGGGCGCCGGAGGGACTGAGGGACGCGCAGGCCGAGCGCGCGGCGGCCGCCAACGGCCCCAAGAGGCGGTCCCCGGAGAAGCGGAGGGAGGGCACCCGCAGCGCCGACAACACTTTGGAGAGGAGGGAGAAGCACGACAAGAGACGAGAGGTCTCTCCCGAGCGGAGGCGAGAGCGGTCACCCACCCGCAGGAGAGACGGCTCGCCCAGCCGGCGGAGACGGTCTCTGGAGAGACTCCTGGAGCAGAGGAGGTCCCCCGAGCGCAGGAGAGGAGGCTCGCCCGAGCGCAGGGCCAAGTCTACCGACCGGAGGCGCGCGCGCTCCCCTGAGCGCAGGAGAGAGCGGTCCCTGGACAAAAGGAACAGAGAGGACAGAGCCAGCCACCGAGAAAGGGAAGAGGTGAATCTGAAACAGGATGCTGGCAGAAGTTCCAGACATCCCCCGGAGCAGAGAAGGCGACCTTACAAAGAATGTAGCACCGACCTCAGTATCTGAGACGCTGAGTCACATTCCAACCTTTACCGTGTCAAAGGTTCTAAGAGGAAGGTCACAAACCTGAAATTATTTAGTTTCTTATCTAATGAAGCATCTGACACCTGATGATCCTATGAATAACAACAAACATTTTATGCATTTGAAATCTTATAAGAAAAAAATATATGAAAAGTATTGTGCCTGATGTATCATATTAAAGAAAGTATTTTTAAATGCATACTTTTTTGGAAATTATTTGCCAAATGCTGGCCCAAAGGGATATAAATTTTGTTGCTACGTAACCTGTAGAATCGTCAAGAATCGTTCCCATTTTTGGGCAATCTTTTTCTCTCCTGGTTAAATGGGGCTGTTGATCATTTTCTCTAAGTAAGGGAATTTATTGATTAAGTTTAATTAATTTGATATGGAGTGTTATGTAGTGATGTAGTGCTATACTGTAGTCAGGAGTTTTTCTTAAAAGCAGAGAGCAAAAAGGCAAAGTTTTATTTGTAAAAGCTGAGGACCCTTTGGGATGGATTAAGTTTGCTGATGATCCTAAAATTAAGCAAACTGTATGACAAGACTACTATTGCAAATGAAGGATATTTATAGCTGAACTGTGCAGCACAAAGTTTTATATTGTGAGTTATAGTTGGTTCAGAAAACAGTTTGTACTCTCCCTGGCCCAGGAAGGCACAGAGACAAAAATGTCGGCTACCTTTACCTAATACAGCCCAAGCACAGTCAGGTTCATGATCATCTCCAATATCTAATAAAGTCTCATTTAAGGCAATGCCATCACAGCTTTGCTCAGTTACTGCAAGAAACAGACAACAAGCATCTTCCATGTTGTCTCATTGGAAGCTGAATAGTAGATGGAATGGGGACAGCATGCCTGGTGTGAGGATAAGATCTCCAATTTGGAAAGCATGGCCCCCGTTTTTAGTATAAGCCCATGGTTGCCCTTTGCCAAATTGGGGAAGAGGGAATGAGCCTTGGTGGAAGGAACCTCTCTGTTGATATCTAAAGAATTGAGGGCTGTGGATATTCATTCTTAGAAATGCCAATTTCTCCTTGAAACCATAGTCCAAGTCTCTAGGTTGGTGGAAGGAAAAGAAAGGAAGTGGTCCCAGTGGTTCTAGATCTGGTTGGGAAACTTCTGCCTCATGACTCTGTCCTTTGAGTCTTTGGACAGCAGCACAAAACATAATGATTTTTCTTTTTGAACAGACCCATTCTTTTTGATGCCACAGGAGTTGTGGTTGGGTCGGCCATAGCCCCGGGATGTGGTTTAAGTGGATTACTGCCTAGCTGAGCCAAAATGTTTGCTTGTACCTGTTGGACCACTACAGCAAACCTGCTTACAGTGCATTGTGTATTTCTGTAGTACTTTTGCATTTTCCATACAGACAGAAAACTTTGCAAGTCAATCACTGTTGTTCCCATGGTACTGTAAGAAAAAAAAGGAAAAAGAAAAAAAAAAGGAAAACCAGCCAATCATTGCGTGTACAGAGCTAAAAATTGTAATTAATAGAGCCTGTTGGGAAAAAAAAAGAAAACAACTGTTGCCTTTTTTTCTTGTATAAAAGAGAATTTATGACAAAAATTTAGCTGTGAGGAATGTGATATGTGTTTATATTTCTGAATATGGAACAAATTGATTCATGGGGATATATTTTAATGTAAACTAAATCAGGTATGTAAAGTTGTTTTAAAATGGGAGACTATATAAGCAATTCTCTAAAGCTTTAGTTGGTTTGAATTATCATCATTTCCTCCATGGTGAGCCTGCTTGTGAATTATTAAGCACTTGTTTGCATTCTCTGTTTTTCACTCATTTATTTCTTGCAGTGTGCTATGGACTTAATGCTCTTTCTGTATTGATGAAAAGCAGTATGTGGGCCAATCTTTTTATAAAACACTATGCATATATAAATATTACATTGTTCATAGCTTTATTTGACTTATGGGTTTATACATAACATTAGAATGAGTAGCTATAGTTGTGTGGACATTTAAAAAGAAGTTCCTTTCCTGGAACAGACACAATACACATTCTATAGCTAAAAAGGAGGGAAAAGTCTGTGAATGCTATTTTTATTATTAAAGTTTTCCATACAAAGCATACATTGAGCTGTAGTAAGGCTGAGGAAGAGTACAACTGAATAATGATGTTCTTTTCCATCAAATTCCTGAGAGTCGACTTGGAGATTTTATTCCCAAGACTCTACTGCTAGGATTCTTCTCACTAGTTCTAACAAAATCTGTGATGTTAAATGACTTATACTCTCAATTGTGGTCCAGAGTTTTAAATAAATGAAATCAAGGTGGATTTGGGGAGTATATCCTGAAGTTAACATCTCGATGTCCTTCTTGTTGTAAGATGATATTTGACATTTTTAAATCTATGTGCTACCCACCTGGGCTTGTCTCAATCTGTGGACTTTTTGGTGTGGCAGTTTCACCTGAATTCCACACATCATATTTGTTTGGAAATATTGTACTGTATAGGGACTATGCATTAAGCAGAAAGAGTTTTCGTTGAACTACTGTAACCTTAAATTGGAAACTGATTCTTGTGAACCTACTTTCCTTAATCCCGCTCCTCTACTTAATGTAAATGTCTTGATGAGAGATGATGGATGAGTATTTTGTATGATGAAATCAAATGATTTAGGCATTTATCTCCCTCCATTACACAGTTGATGCCTGAAAGAATGTTGGGGGGGAGGACTCAACACCCTAATTGTATTTTTTAAGTTTCTTTTGTGAAAGATTTTTTAATGCATTTTTACTGTAAAAATACATGGAAATGTATGCATTCCACAACCACTATTGCTTCTGCATTGATATCTTCCTTGTCTCTATGTTGTCTCAAATGTATCAGGGTCAAGTAATCAACTGAGGGCCCCTGACTCCAACTTAACAAAATGCCATTGTGCTGAAAGAGCGGGACTCATGCTGTTGCAGTAGCATAGTGCCTTGCTACTCAAAGTGTGGTCTGTGGACCAGCTGCCTCATCATCACTGAGGAGCTTGTTAGAAATGCAGACTCTCAGTCCTATTCCAGACCTACTGAGTCAGAATGTGCATTTAATAAGATCCTCAGCTATGTCATATGCATATGAAAGTTTAACAGCACAGCATAGTATAGCCTAGCACCCTGGTAATAAACCCTGCCAAACTACGAGTTTCATCACTTATGGTGTGATTCTTGGGCACATTTCTTAACCTCCTCTGAAGCCTCCTTTTCGTCATCTACAAAGGGACATACTTCACAGAGCTAAAGAATAGATGTACATCTTTGGCAATCAGAAGAGTCCTCAGTAAATGACACAACCTTTTTGAGGAGAATTTCTGCATAGTAATGAGTACTCTACTCTTTTTGATGTCCTGGTTTATTTTCCAGTCAAAATGAAGAAAAAAAAATTTTTTTTTTGACACAGGGTCTCACTCTGTCTCCCAAGCTGGAGTGCAGTGGCACAATTGCAGCTCATTGTAGCCTCAACATCTCAGGTTCAACTGATCCTCCCTGCTCAACCTCCCAAGTAACTGGGACTACAGGTGTACACCACCATGCCCAAATAATTTTTGGTATTTTTATAAAGATGGGATTTTGCTCAGTTGCCCAGGCTGGTCACAAACTCCTGTGCTCAAGCAATCTGCCCAACTTAGCCTCCTAAAGTGCTGGGATTACAAGCATGAGCCACCATGCCTGTAAGAAAAATATTTTCTCACTGTATTAAAATAGGGAAGAAGGCCTTTAATTATAAATAGTATGGCACATACTACTTAACAAAATATTACACTTACCATTGCCAAGGAATCTGAAACAAAAATGCTGTGCTGTGAAAACAAAGTCATCTTGAAGTCTAACTTCAGGAGGTAGATACATATGTGGAATTAGACATATTCCCAAGTCACACTAGATACAAAAGTTAACCATTCTCAAGTACCAGACATGCATGTGGGTTGATCAGGTCGTTTTGAATAACTTCCAAGTCTCAACACAGTTTTCGGATTGTTCCTTTTTATGACTTAGTGTTTGGGGTTTTCCTCCAGAACCAAAGTTCCTGGGTGGTCAAAAAGCATTTTGTTGAATAGTAGGCCTTCCTGCAATCCATCTCCTTTGCTGTATTTTGCTTTATTTTGTCACCAAGATGGTAATATGGACTCTGCTCACTTCCCTGGTATTTCCTTTATTAAAGATGGCATCTCAAAGTGGTCCCTGGCTTAACCAATAGTTGAAGCTGTTTGTAAAGCCCTTATGTCATGCAGGTTCTTTACCTGCCATAATTAACCACACCACATGTGCTGAGACTCAATTATGCCGTCAGGATTTTTCCAGCTGGTGGGCAATCCAAGACCACCTTTGGTGGCCTGCGTTAATCGTAAGAGGAAAAGCCCCTTTGATTTCCTCCAAGTGATTTCTCCTGTGAGGCAACACCATCAGCATCATGGATGTTTAGCACAGTCAGATGCAAGTGCTTTGGCAATACACATCATTAGAAGCTTGTGTGAAGGGAAATGTCCCTTCCAACACAATTATTTGGGGCGTTTTTGGTGGGAGTGAATTTTCTGTGAAAACTTTTTGACTGCTTCCTCCCTCCCCCAAGAGATGTCTTTATGCATTGTGGTCATTGTCAGGGCAAGAGGAGTATGGTTTTACTTCATTAGTGTAGATATTAGGTGTCTGTTGGATCCAAAGCACAAGATCTCTTTGAAAGTACATGGATTTAAGCAAAGTAGTAATAACCATTGCATTATACAGTGAATACTCAAGTATCGCCTGCGACTGCTACCCTTGACTGCATCACTTTCCACCTAGCTGAAAAGCCTTTATTGTCATGTCTCTGGAGAGACTAAAGGCATGGTCTTCACAGCCGAGAGCTCTAAACACCACTCCAGTAAGTGCTGTACTGTATCCCTCAGAGGATAAATTCTCTTTGATCTCATAAGATTGTAGAATTAAAGGGAAAATAGCTCAGAAAGGCTGCTCATTCCTACATGTGTAATAGGCAAGGCTTGCTACTTTATTTCTCATTTTTTCCACACGTTTATTGAAGACCAGCTCTGTGCCAGGTACACGGTGGGGCTAGAAATGCCTGGTTCCTGGTCTGAAGAGCTGGTAGTTTCTGGGGAGAAGTCAAATACTTGCAAACTGCATACCAAGCAGAAGCACAGGGTCCTCCGATACCGATTAATAGGAGATTTAGCCAGATTGAAGAAGGTTTTAATTCAACTGGGGCCAGAAGGAAGAGAAGGCTAATCAGTGAAAGAAGGAACAAAGTGCAGGCTGAGCGAAGGCCCAGGTGCAAGGGAGTGTGGTCTAGAAGGGAAGGGTTGCTTTATGAAGGGAACAAGAGTTGTGCTGGGCTTGCCTTGTTCCAGATTTTATACTTCAGCATAACAGGAGACCATTGAAGAGTTTTAACAGGGCCTCCAGTGAGCTGTGTGTGTTCAGGGAGGGAGCAGTGACCAGCTCAGGTTTAAGTTTCTGAAAGATGGTCTCACAGTACCACAGGAGGGCAGACGTGGAGACAGGTGGAGAGAATCCAGTTAGGCACAGGGGCCTATCCAGGGCAGCAACTGTTACAATGAAAACCCCTCTTGTACCATGCAGTTCTCATAGTTCATAAGTCCCTAAGCCCATGTTTACCTTCTTCTTACTAAAACAGTTCATTTTATTTCCAACCTAAATCCTTCTGCTTCTCTTCCCTATACCTTAATTAATACATATAGAACACTTTGTAGCCAATTTCTTCTGTTAGATAAGGTCCATCGTTTACTATTCCACTGGGTTTTCTACAGGTTTACAAATTCCCACCTTACTAGCCTTTTTTTCTTCCAGATCCTTGTTTCAAATGTAATTTTATTTTTACTTTTTTATGAAGTTGACCGCATGTTTCTTAAGTTACTGAAGCCTGTCTATGTATTATCCAGTCTTGGCTTGCCATTCCCCACATTTGAGTGTGAAGAAAGGAACTCCTATGATACCCCATTTTTAAAAGCAGTGTTTTTATTTACAAAACTAATGCATATTTACAATAAAAGATTCAAGCATCAGGAAAGTATAAAAAGTGGCATTCTTCCCCATACCTGTCAATCCCAGTCCACAGAAATAACTATTATTAGCAACTTGGTTCATTGACATTCCTAGTCTTTTTCTATGTATGTGTGTGTGTATACAACTGTATGTGTATATGTGTGAGTGTACATACAGATTTATGGAAAAAAAAAATGGGGCATTAGTCCTTAACTATGTTATGAGCGGTTCCTGTATCTTATAAATTGTGGGTATTTCTCCAAGTTAGGAGTATGTATGGGTGTATAGATACACACACATACATTAAAATAAAACCTCTTACACCTAACTCATTCCCATTCTCTGTCCTTCTCTCTCCCCATCTCTTGGATTTGCTTTTTCATGGTTCTCTCTGCCTTTTCCCCATTCCACCTACACATTCCTCTCCCTGTAGCAGGCAGAATTATTTTAAAATGTCAAACGAAAGGTCAAAGTCCTTACAGTAGGCTCTGAGGTCCTCCAGGATGGGGTTGGCCCCTCCTTTCCTCTCTGGCACAGTCCCAGACTTAGGGTCTTTGCTCTAGCTGGTCCCTGGCCTGGGACTGCTTTTTCCCCAGATATCCGTGGCTGACTCCCTAGTTTTATTCAAATCCTCACTCAAGTGTTACTCTTTCAACACATTCTACCCTAATCACCCTGTTTAAAATTGCAACTTGATTACCGTATTCTACTCTTTTCTCCTCTGCAGCACTCAACACCTTCTAACACGCTGTGTAGTCTCCATGCTTACTCGTGATCTCTGTTTTTTATCACCTGCCTGCTCTATAATCAGTGCCAGCTTTGTGGGCATGCAACCTTTTCAGTCACACAGGGTTTTGCACTTAGTAGGGCCCTTTGCTTGATGTAATGCTCTGCTCTCATGGGCTTGAATTTTGAGTAGTTTTTTAATAAGGACCCCCACATTTTTAGTTTACACCAAGTCTTGCCAGTTACGTAGCTGGCCTTTTCTAGAATAAGCTTCTTCATAAGTTTCATGAGGATGAATCTTTGTTCTGAATCTGATGAATTCCAAGGTCCTGGAGTAGTGCCCAGCATCTAGTTTGTATACTCAGTAAACAAAAGTACTGTGTTGTCTCTTAATAGCTGCATATTCTAAAGTTGACCACAATTTACTTAACCAGTCCCCTTGGACATGCAGTTGCGATCATGAAAACATGCTACAGTGAACATCCTTCTTTGATTCTGGTGACACCGATGTTACTGAGAATTTGCATTCTTTTATTGGGAGCAGCTGTTTTTAGCAAAGTGGTTGCAGTCTATGGGACCTATTTCCAATCAGATGAGAGTTGCCAGGCTTAGAGGAGCCACTAACCCAATAGTTCATAGCCTTGGGTGCACATTGGAATCTCCTGGGAAGCTTGAAAAGACCTGATGCCTGGGTGCACTTCCAGAGATTCCGATGTAGTTGGTCTGGATGTAGCCTGGGTTTATAAAAGGCCCCAGGTGATTTTAACAGAGAGCCATAGCTTTGTCCATCAGCTTTAACCCTATAGTCTGAGTGGGATTGAATGTGTCTGCTGCTTTCTCTTTTCTTCATAAGGTGTCTACTCTGGCCTTTTTAAGGTTGCAATGATGCAGCAGCTCAAAGAAAAGATGGTGTGAGATTATTTTCTCAAAGTAAATTAGAAAACCTTCTTACTTGCATAAAGTTATTAGCCAAATATGAACATAATGGGCATGTATATATCAATTGTGAATTCTGTTTTATATGCCTGTCACCACTGAATTTATTCACTAACAGTGACAGTT